GTTTGGTGTGTGGGCCAAATAAATTGACAAAAAACTACATTTACCAACATCCCACATACTCTAGAGTTTCAGTTAGATTGAGCAAATGTCAAAATGAGAAAGAAAAAAGTCACAGAGTTAAACAATTCTGTGAAGTAATATCCACATATATCTATACATCATCTGTCACTATTTTCTTTCCAGACTGCCTTCTTCTAGATGCAATTATTTATAACAATGTTTTTCGTATTATCATTAAAATGATATTACAATGTTTTGAGCAGTGCATACCTTAACAATATAATAGCAGACATCAATCCTAACCATTTCAGTTGCTTTGGTTAGTTTATAGTCACTCCAGGAATTCCTTCGTTTTTAAGAATTTCTGTGAAACCATGCACATTAAAAAAAACAATGTGGTGGACTTGCGGGCGTCCGTCTTCCAATGCAGAGCGGGGAATAGTGGGAGTGCCAGGCTTTAAATAATAACAAGGAAAACAATGGACAGGTGCACAGGTGAGCTAAAACAGGAAAGGGTCAGAGCGCCCTTAAGAGGAGGGTTGACGATCGTCATCAACTTTGAAAGTCACATGTTGGTAGTGTGTGTGCTGCTGAACTGATGGATATAATCAATGTAATATAAGATCTGTATCTGCGACACATGCTATACACTAGGTTACATATTCTGTCTTGTAGGATTATCATTCCTTCCTGTCGTTGAACATGGACAAGCAAGTTCACCATGCATTATCCCATTTCATTCCCCAAATTTTCACATTTCACAAAAATGCCACTGTTTCTCAAGTAGCATGAGGATGTTTATGATTTTGCTTGAATCACGCCCACAGGAAGGGCAGCAAATGAAGTCACAAGACTTGATCACTGTATCTCTATGCAGTCACTTGCCTTCAATCATTATGAGTGGCAGTGACTTGACATTCCTGCCACACTATCCATTTATTATTCTGTTGCACACAATAATAGGGATATTGTTCTCCATGTTTTTGCCACATTCACAGATGTTCATCATGGTGATGTATACAAAATATTGATTCATTGCTTTACTAGCTTTACTGGCAAGTTCTGATGTGTGTTTCTCACATCGCCTTATTCTGCTAAATCAGTGAACATGCAGACTATTATAAATTATATTATTGAGTCAAGTGAATGTGTCAAAACACTTATGGTCACTTGGAATCACTGGGTTGAACACAATGTGTTTTTGTGCAAATATAATCAAATTTATGTTTGAAAATATCCATGTCATACATGTCATTCATATTAATGTTGTGTTCCCAAATACAAATTGCTTGAATGTAAAGCAAAAATAATTATGTTTTGCTGCCCCAACACTTTTGGAGATTACTGTATAGTGCCTTACAAGAGCATCCAATGATGCCCCATTTTGTTGAATTACAAATTATGTATGCACATTTGTAAAAGTTAAAAGTGAAAAAATTTAAGCAAAACTTGAATGCTCAAACTGAACACTTCTGTTGGTGAAAGAAGTGAAATGCCAGCAGAAACTGCAAGGAAAAATTGAAAACTAAAATATGTTGAATGCATAAGTATCAACCCCCGTGAGCCTTGGTGGAAGTACATTTGGCAGCAATTATGGCTCCCTGTATTTTTGGATACGTCTTTGCCAGTTTTGCACACCAGGATGGAACAATTTTTTGTCCATTTGTCTTTAGAAACATGCACAAGCTCTGTGAACTTAGTTGGAGATCATTAGCTGATAGCAATTTTCAACTGTTGCCATGAATCTGACTGGGCCTCTCAATGATATTCACTTTCTTGTTAATCTACCGCAGTGTAGCTTTGACCTTAAAGTTTGGATGACTGTCTTACTGAAAGGAGAATTTCCATCCCATTTTTATGTCTTTAGCAGACTGAAGCAGGTTTTTCTCTTGCTTATACTTGCTTTCATCCATTTTCTCCTTGGTCTTTACAAGCTTCCCAGTCTCTTGCTGAAGAGAACTGCCACTATACCCAAATGCTGCTACCACCTGCTTAACAATATGGATGGTGTTTTAAATGGGTGCTGAGTTTGGTTTATGCCAAATATGATGTTTTGCCTTCAGTCTAAACTGTTCCAATTTTCCTCATTTTAACTCAAAACATTTTGCCACATGTTTGCAGTATCCCTCAATTGCTTTTTAGCATAATCCAGGACATGACATTTTTTTTGGTTTCATTATTACACTAGCTTCTCTCCACTTACAGTATATTGTGATATGGAATATAGTTGACTTGTGGACATTTTCTAGTGCCACAAATGCACCACAAATAAACTGATGCTTTATTATCCATGCCTGAATACATTTTTTTCTCTTTTATTCAATTTCATCAAGTTTGTCAAGAATATGCAAAGGAAAAACAGAAGAGAGACATTTTTAACAGTCAAAGATGTTTTGAACCATACTGAATCTTGAACTAAGAAATTGTACATTCAGTATTTACTGCCGCAATTAAGTGAATTCAGAAAAAAATTAAGAGCAGCATATCTTTGTCATATTCCATTTGAGGAAATGCACCAAAGGTTTCACATTCCTTTCAGGGATTGTATAAATTATTAAGTCTTTGAATTGCTAGTTGAGAACAAACCAAAAATGTTTAACCCTAAGCCTCTCAGAATTTTCTTTATTGTTTTTAAATCAACACACTAAAAACAAACTGTGCATTTAATTTATGACATGAATTCCAAAAATATGTACCTATAGAAATACATTAGCAAAGTCAACCTGTCTTGGTTATATTTATTTATGAAACTCACTGGAAAATAATTTTGATTTTTTCAAAAGATAAGGCACAGGATGTCATACACATGGAGTGAACATGTGGAACTTAAAAATATAGATCCTTAAGTCTGTGATATAACATTTTTATTGCAAAAGTCAGGAACATGTTCTATTATATAGTGTAAAATATTGTATACACATGAAGACCCTTCTACTTTTCTTTTTATAAAACATGAAAATCAGATATGCATAAGGTAAAAACAACATGCTTGAGTCAATGCACGTCATTAGGAATCAGCAGTCAATCTTATTCCATTTTTAAGAGGATGCTCTGGCTCCTAGAATTTACTCTGTAGGTGACAACTTTACTGGACATTACAAAGAGCAACAAGTTAATTTTTAATGTGACATCACACTATTGTGCAAAATAAAAACTTTTCATGTTATTGATGATTTTCTGGTTTGTTATTTTGTACCCAGAGAGTCAGCAAGATTTCTGGTCTGTTGCAAGATTCTGCAAAGAATTCTAATTAAAATAAGGATAGGTTTATAATCCATGACTGTGATCAGTATCCGTGTCGAGTTTCAACATGTTAGCACTCACTCTACAATTATAAATATAATTTGTTAATTGATGATATTGTTGTGCCTTAATGCAAGTACATAAAGATCTAATCACATTATTACCATATTTAAAAGAAAATAAAAGTTTTCTTTGGAATTAGCACATTGTATCACATCAATATACAGTATACTGTAATTAGTATTGAATGTGTCACTCATATTTTTGTTGTTATCGTCTGTGCATTTGTCGTGGAAAGGGGACATAAATGAGGGCTATATATACTGAAAAAATCATTTTCCAGTACGATGGGCTTAAACAAGCTATGTGATAAAGTCAGTTAAACATATTTATTAACAGTGCATTCTAACGGATGTAGAATATATGGAATTAATC